GGGAAAGAGGTGAAACAGAGTGGACCATGTCAGGTAATGGTGATGGGGGATACATCACGGGATTCTGGAGGTGGAATCTGGAGATGCCCTTGACTCAAGAATATCTTTTAAACTGAGACATAGACAAGGGCAGAGAGTAAAACCACTTAACACAAGGAACTCCTCCAGTACAGAGGAAGGTGCTCCTGTATCGTTTGATTTTTAAATCATCTGCAAATAGAGAAAAGGTTCAAGTGATACCAAACAAGCCACCACACACAGCCCACTGATAATAGCTCACCTCGTCATCTATCATATCCAGGCTCTGAGTGAGGGAGCAACAAAGGAATCAAAGAGAAAAGTGTTATAGAAACAGGACACATAACATACATGGTACAAAGTTTTAATAAAATTAAAATCACGCCAAGCCTGAAGAATATGGGCATGAAAGTTTAAGAGAAAAAAAGTTTTACAAAACGAAAATCGTGTTAAAAAGAAATAACTATTTAGAGTAAAAATATGTTTTCTTACAATGCTTCTCCCCATCCCTTCCACCCTAATACTGATATTTCTTTCCTCTATGTATCTCTTGGGGGCACTAATAGCTAATGCAATCTTCTGCCTCTCTTGTAAACATTTATCTCCTGAGAATTCTTAGCAATGCTGTTTAACTCTAGCTTCTAAATCACTGGTTCTTAGTAATCCTTCCTTATCAGGACTGTACCTGGCTCCTCTCCACTGCAATGAATACCAGTCAGGGGCCCCGGCCAACTCAGAAGGAATGTCAGAATCTTAGGGCGGGGCTGTTGGTGCGGAAGGTGAGGGAGAAATGGAATGGAGAATTTGTAAACTCCATGTGATTTCTGAGCTATTTCCTAAATTTGCTCTCCAGTGCCTACCTTGCACCTCCGTACATCTGTTGAAAGTCATATCATTTAAATTAGAGAAAGGCTAAGTATATAGTAAGGGAGGTCTATTTAAGGGAGCCCCTTAAAGGGGCTGAGAAACAATGCTTTGTTTTTATGTTGAGACAGAAAAGGAGAGAAATCATGATGATTTCATATCAAATATGAAACTGTGGTCCTGATGCTCTACATGCAAAATCTACCTTAACAAAACTTTCCTGGTGATAGTTCATATGTAAAGAGTATGACTGAGAAAGCAGTTCTGTTTTAAGAGCCATGAACATACCTCATCTGACGACAGTGCTAAGGACTGAGAGAGCCCTGGTGTTTTGGGTTCTGCTCCTAGGCCGCTCAGGTCTGCCGAACTGGTACTACTGGGACTGAAGTCATCATTGAAGGTAAAATTCTGTAAAAACAAATGAAGCTCAGTGTGAAATGAGCACCATGAATGAACCTGAGGTAGGTGTGTTCGCAAGTTCTAAAAAGGTGATTTTTCAGTAATCTTACAAGAAATTAATTTTTGGTTTGGTGATGACCTTCGATTTAGGCAGTGGTTGAGAACACTGCGCCTTTTGAGATTCATACAGAATTCTGGTTACTTTCTCCATCAGATGAAAGGATAGGTATTTGGAAGAAATGCTTTTTCAATCTCTCTTCAAGGGTACAGCATCCATTATCCTCTGCAACTGCTCAGAGGAATAATATTAATGAATCTATCTTCTTTGACCCTAATCGTGATGAGTAACAGTGTAAGTGAAAATATAAGATGGTGTGGAGGGCCTGAGTTATGAGGAACAGATGGCAATCCATATTAGAAAGGTGGCTTGAGCACCTCCTGGGAGGGATCGCTTGCTGTTGGCTGTGATAAGTACAGTGAGAAATGGCAGATTCTCTCCTGGATGTAACCTTCAAGATAATGAGTTCTGGGGGAAGTCATACTCTGACACTACGCTAGTTGTTACAGGCTAAAGTACAACACTCACATGGCACCAGCCAAGTTCCGAAGGGGCTGCAGCACAGATACACATTCTCAAATATTCACTTTGGGGTTGGGGAGGTAAGGAGTATATAAATAAAACTTCCCCAGAACTTCGGTAAAATCTTCAGTGGATATTAAAGTCAAATTAATTCACAATGACGACATAGCTGTATTTGTGAAAACACTTTTGAACCAAATCTGGAGTCTCTCCAGTGTAAGATAACGATAGAATTATTCAAAAAAACATTGATGTAAATCAAATTCAACACTGAATATGTTTCAAGGCCAAAGTGGTCTATTGCTGTCAAACCTTCTTTTCTAATTCTAGAATGACTGGCTTCCCAGGGACTCTAAGCACTTGACCAACAGCATCTTGTTTCATAGTCTACTTCCTTAGAAATTGGACTGTTAGTTTTCCATTAGGTTCCTTACAGTGGGTTTAGTTGGTTGTCAAGAATAAATACGATGCCAGAGGCTAGAGAATTCAGTACCAAACAAACTCCAAGGTTTGCTAACTCTTTAGAAAAGGAGACTAAATCAGAGCACACAGAGCGAGGCTAGTAGAACATTTAAGCAGGAGGACATTCAACACAATGTGTTACCATTTCATATTGTCAGTGGAGATACAACCCCAAACCCTGTTAAAACCCCGTGAGCTGTCGGACTTCAAGAAAATAATTAAATTTAAGTAACATTAATCACACGTTTCTGTTTAAGAAAGCAAAGTGAACACACATAAAAGGAGACCAAACAACATGTGAAAGTTAGCCATCGTATGTGTTTCAATAAAGTGTTAGATAAGGTTTGCAGCGTCATGCTGGAAATAACTATCGTGCATTTAAAAACACGTAGCATCCATGCATATAATTCTTAATTCTGCTAAAGCTAAAGAACTCTTGCGATAGAATTACAGCAGTTGTTTGACATGGAAGTTTGATTTAAAAGAATAAATAAATAAGGGTGCTATGTCAGCATTGGTTTGTTTTAAAGAGATTCATTTAGATATACTGAACACATATTCGGTCCCAAATTTATTTGTTTTCCAGTAAATCATGAAAAGCGCAGCAAAAATAGTCTTGTAATGTAATTTAAGGTGGAATACTTGGTAAACAAATCTATCATATTGTTCCATGATTCAAATGCATCTTTCCCAGCATGGCTTAACTGTCAAACTGAGATTAAGTAGCAATACGTGAAAAGACAGGCAAATCAAAGATTAACACAATCTAGAATGGAACAGTATTAAAGACGGTGATGGTTAAATGAGGCTTTCTTTTTCCCCACACAGGAAACGCCATGCATTGTTTACTGCAGTGTTATCACACTGGTTTCTCAGATCCAGTGCACACATACAAGTTGAGAATGCTTTCCAAAGACTGAAGAAAAAGAAGAGATTTGGGGTTTTCTTGTTTTCTTTTTTAATCCATGTGTTTTTTTTCTACCTTGGACCCTTTTTTATCTGAAATTAGAGTTTCAGGAGAAGGCTGGAGGGGACTTGTAGGTGAAGGCAGGTTCCCGAAGGAATAGGATCCTTTCCAGCTTTCATTAAACCACGAGAAAGGCATGCAAGGTGAGCGAGGGGAGGCCTGAGCTGCAGAGGATGGCTTCGGTTTCCAGTGTTCCAGCCTGCCTCTGAAGATCCTGTTTATAAAAAGAATTGAGTGTGTTAGACAAAGCAAGGGCAGATGGAAAACTTACTGAACTTCTGAAGGGACACTGAATATAGTTCAAAGTAACAGTTTGAGAATCTGTTCTCCACACAACTAAGGGTAAAAGTTTCGCACTTTTGACTAGAACATTAATCGTTATCTTTTTTGCATCTAAATGGATTCTGTAACAATGATCAACATTTCATATTGCTATTACCATGGTGAATTCTTATGAAACGTGTCTAATAAATCTACGTGGGTGAATTAAAATCAGAAGGATGCACAGTCTTTTAGGAGCTACTAAGAGGTTAGTCATCACAGTATTCCCTTTATTTGGGTCACATATCAGTACCTCACTGCTAGTGACATTTAGCTCATAACCAGCATTCTTTCCTGGCCTCCCTTGAATTCATGTTCCCAAAAGTCTAAACTTCAGAAAATGATATATTTAAATAATTTGGAAATTTCAGAGCTCATTTTGAGCAGAACATACACCTCATTGGTTTTTCACGATCATCTTAGTGCTTTTTCACAGGAGAAACACCAGACCTGAAGTCTTAATACTCTTATTAATACTGGAGGTCGAGGATCTATCACCTCCTGAGTACATGGCATTGGGCCTTCTCTCAGTCCCTATTTCGTCATCTGTAAACGGTGGATATTTGGCATCTCATATGTGGTTAAGAATTAAATGAGAAAATATATGTGAAAAGTGCTTTGAAAACTGTAAAAGTATAATGGTCTACGTTTATTGTTTAACATTTAAAAGATTCAAAAGCATTTGAGAACAAAGTTTGAAATCAGATATTCTTAATATCTTGCATATTTATATTTATGTTTTGCTCAGAGAAAAATAATTATCAGGAGTTGTGGCAGGAATAGGCAGTAGTTTCTGTGCATCTTGGAAGAGGTCACCCTCAATATGTCCAAAAGACATTTGATGCGATGCCTACCATTTGCTAGCTGTTGATGTCATTACAACAAAGAGATTCTCTTTCAATTAAAAGAGCCTCAACACCATGGCTAGCCAACTCATGTCCTACAAAGATACTAAATTTAAATCTCCTGATATCTTATTTCAAATATTTTGAAATATTACAAATTTCCATAAATAACGTAACTCTTAACAATTCCTGTTCATTTCCAAAGATTACTGTGAGAATCAAATGGGACAATAAATGTAAAAACATCTTATAAACTCTAAAGCAGTATATAAATGTAAAGGGATTGTAAGAATGATAACTAAAGAGAATGGAGAAGTCAGCGATGTTTCGTAGAATACTGACACCTGACAAGATGAATGAGCACAACTGTTGGTCACACTAAAGATCCCAAAAGACCTGATGCTTTTAATGGTGTATTTCTTTAAAAAAAAAAAAAGGGCGGGGAGGGGGTCTGCAAGGGTAGTAGAGAAAGACCAGAGATGTTGTCAATCTTCAATTTCAACCTAAAATTTAAACTAAAAAAATAAAAAACAATTTGTATTCTTAAATCCACCTACTTACTATCAAAAGATGGAATAGAGAAGTACAATAACTGAACCTGAGAAAGCATGAGGCAGGTTGGTCTTCTGTAAGAAATGCTTTTTTTCCCTGGGTTGTGGACTAGTGCAGTGTTTCCCAAACAAGTCTGACAAGAATCATTTGGGGCAGCTATTCAAATGCAGATTCTTGGACACCCAGACTTAACTGAATTAGAATTTGGGGAAGAGAAAGGAAGGAGTTGGCCTGGAATATATTTTAACACATATCTGAGCTGACTCTTAAAGTTTTTAATATCTGTATTTATTAACATTATCTTGAAAGCAAATATGAGACTTCTGGAACAAAACAGGTTATTATTGACTTACAGAAAATTACTGCGCGGGTTCCCCATACCCTAATTTCCTTTCTCCAGGATGACATAATGAGAACCAGCTGTCAGCCTATACTTGATCTATACTGTAGGTAAGAAATCTAAAAAATATGTATCTGGATGGTTATTCAGGAGGACAGCTGTTTCCCTCTTCCCTCTGACAGAGGGAGAGAATCTTATCTCTTTACGGTAAACATATTCGACTTGGGAGGGATCTTGGGTTCTTAGCCTTTGGAAAGTAATACATATCCTAGTGGGAGATAAGACTAGTATCTCTAGCTTCACAGCCTCGGGAATGTCTCCACCAAGATGAGCCTCATCTATCTGCCTCTTCCCATCTCCATTCCTTGAAAATGTAACTACATACCTCTGGGGAGATAAATCTCTGCAGATCTAATTTATCTGCTAAGGCCTGTTTTTTAGCTCAGGTCCCATGTTACAGTAAAAATGCTCACACAGCTCTAACTGCAGAAACATAAAAATATTTTCTCTGTAGTCTCACACTCCTGTAATTGGGCATCATTGAGATAAACTAACGTTTATTTTCTCCTTTGGTTATAAATTTCTGAATCAATTAAAGTAAAATGGGAAATTCTTTGAGTTCCATCCACAATTCAAATAAGGTACGGCAGTGCTTCAATATATGATTTTAAAGTTCATAAATAGGCCATTATTAATGACATATAACTAAATGGTCTCATTCCCAGGTGCACTGCCTTTGTAACAATGTTTTTAGAACAACCACCACCACTTTTTTTTTTTTTTTAAATAAGAAATAAGAATATTGTTACCTAATTTTTGTTCTTTTAAGGACTTTTTGAAAAGGACTCTCGACAGTTCAAATCCTGGCCAGGCAATACTTCAAACAAAATCTGGAGACCACATCTAAACTCTTTGATAAAATTCTCACTGCCAGAAAAATATCCAAGACTGATAATTCCAGGTGGACTTGTACATCCAGCACAGAAGACAGGCCAGGCCGGGAGGCCAAGTATGAGTGTGATGAAGGAAATCATGGAAGCTCGGCCTCAGGTGATATCCAGAGGCTTTCTTAGATAACAGAAAATAATAGAAGGCATGGAAGAAAAGTCCACAGAAAGCAATGCAAGCTCAATTCTAAGGAGATAACCACATCTTCTCAGCTGCAAACCACTAGGTCCTGGGGTACTCTGAAAAGTATTCTCCAATTCTCCCACAGGTCTGGCTGTGCCCTGCTGAGGCTATATCCTGTTCCCTTCATTCTTTGTGTATCCTTGACTCTAAAACTCCAAGAACTGATGTAACCTTTGTGTGTTTGCCAGTATCCATAAGTAACTGACAAGTGGTATAGTTCTATGTGCTTGGACCCAGAGTACAGAATATTCATTTAAAAGAGCAAACTCTCCGTTACTTTAAATCATAGACCTATCAGATTACTAAACATGCTTTCTAAAATGCCATTTTTCCCCTAAGAGAAACTGAACTCTTGGGCCTATGGAAAAAGCAGAGAAGTTTTGGTAGTAGTTGTTCTATTATTGACCACTCTTATAGTCTGTAACTTTGTGGAGAAATATGTAAAGATTTACGTAACATTCTTCCTTCTCTCCTTCTTCCCTTTTCTTTCTCCTTTCTTCCCTTCCTCCCTCCCCTACTTTTTTTGACTGATGGCAGGTCATGGGCTAAGGTGCACAAGCTCCATATAGATCCTTAATAATCTTTGTGAAAAATCAAGATTGGTAGAAAATAATTTCTAGAGGATCAAATAGGCATGTGTCCTGTACTTCCTTCACCTTCTTTTTTTAGCGTGTACATTAATGGCTTATTATCATTTTTGGAAAAAAGAGAATTACAAGTCACAGCTACATCTCTGATTGTTTTATTAGTAGGAATTGAGAGAAAGAATGGCTTCAAATTAAGTCTCTGTAATCCTAAAATGTCTTTTGTGGGGCTGGGATGGGGAAGGAGGTAGGGAGACTGACTGTTTCCTGGCATTTAAGTGTTTTATAGTTAACAACTCTACAGAGCAATTAACTCACTTATGTACATCTTGAAACCAGCTTCTCCTGGGGATAGCACCCCAAAATTAAATTTCTCAGGTAAACATTCCATGGTGATCTTTGTTGGTGGGTTTTAGCTTCAAGTACAAGGTGTATAAAGTATTCAGAATCTAATTGGATGTCATCGAAATATAATTAGTAGTTCAGGAGTTGCCAGAACAGAAAAAGCATAAACAGAATATAGAATTCAAACAAGTAGTAAAGGAGGTTAATTGAAGAAAATCAGAACAACCAGAAGGGTTGCAGGCATCAATTTACCCATATCAGATGAAGCAATTCTGTGTGGTTCTAACATCCACCAAGGAGACTGAAGTTGTAAAGCCAGCCCCTTCTGAAGGGGACCTGGAGACCCTAACAGATAACAGCTATGACAACCAAGTGTCCATCTGCAGCTAAGGCAACCACATGGACGTATCCTACTTCCAGATCCTCAGTCATGGTCTAAATCTCTGCTCAATAACCAACAGCCCGTCTGAGCTGGTCACTATACAGTGTTCGAACTTATGCCAGGGTTCAAGACACGCTACCTCAAAATGTGGCACCTTGCTGTACTGAATATTTTAAGCTGAAGGAATTTGAGAAATAGCAGGTGCAGAAAGGGCTCTCTGATCTCCCCATCCACCTGGATGCAGGTCATCAAACTCACGTGAAAGGGTCCTTCCCCTGCCCCTCCCTATACCAGGAGGAAAGGATCATCCTTATTTCTGTAGATGGGGGATGCTAAGAGGAATCTAAACAAATGAACGCACAGGCTTTGCTAAGTTTACCCTAGTTTACTATCCTTATCTCATATCTTTTTGTCCTATGACATTTTTCTGTGACTTTTCATTCTTCATCAAACTTACCATAAAAATGCTCAGGCTTAATCCCTTCTTTGGGTCTTCATTTCCTTAAGAAGTCTTCTATGTCACAGAAAATTTCTATTAAATACATTTTTTGCTTTTCTCTTGTTAAGCTGTCTTTTGTCAGTCTAATTTACGGGGCTCTGGCCAGATGACCTAGGAGGGTGGAGGGAAAAAGATAAATTTTCCCTCCCCTACACTCATCTGAGATAGAGAAACTGTTCTCTTAGTGAGTCTTCCTTCATATAGGGAAGGTTTAA